AGAGAGAGAGAGAGAGAGAGAGAGAGAGAGAGAGAGAGCTGGCATATCTTCCTCCAAACGTCGAGAAGATGCCGTTGGCCTTTTTTGGGGGGGTGGTAATTGGCCAAATACCCCCATATGTTGGGATATATGTCAAAATGTCCCGGGAAATTGGGCGCTTTTTTGCATTTGCACCCACAAAGTTGGACGGTGTCTGGTGAGGTGCATTGCAAAGATGGGGTCCAACCAATGTCTGGGGTGTTTTGCAAAATGTTTTTGGCGTCGTCCTTGACCGCAGCGTGGCTGCGGAGCGTGGCTGCGGGGGGTCCACTTGTCTTCTTAACAATAACAATAATAATAACAATGAAAAAATGAACCAGAAACAATGTCCGAGTCCTCTCCTTACTGGCAGCCACTCAAGAGGTTCATCATAGCCATCTCATACACCTTCTTCTTCCTTGGCCGAGTAGGTGGCTATGGCGGACTAACGGAGCAAAGCCCCAGCGTTCAAAGGACAACTCAAAGCTAATGTGGCCCTCCTACCATGGCCGCCGTGCCTATCACTACCCCGAATTCTTCCTTGTAGAAGCCAATCCCAACTGGGGCCTTCCTGGTGCAGCGCCCACCAAGAAGATGAAGATGCACACCACCATAGCCAGGTAAGCACCTGTGTCACTCTCCTCCTTGCTCACCGTCTCCCTCCTCCTACTCTTACTTCCGCGGAGTCTCCGCCTTGGTACTCTCCACCATAGCCAGGGTGGAGGGACAAGCCCGCCCTCTTCCTCCCCAGTGCTGCTTGGTTGAGTGCTCGCTCCAGCAGCCGGTCGCCCAAGCTTGCCTGCTGCAAATGAGGAGGAGATCTTCGCTCGCTCCCAAGATATATACCGGACTACTGCCTCTTCGGGCAGTGACTTTCCAGGGCCTGCAGCCCCCCAAGCTACCGGCACCTTACCCTTTTCCGATGGAAACATCATTGCAGTCTGATGATATCCCCTCCTGCCGGCTCCAGACTCTGGCTACTTGGACCAGTACTTTCCCTTCTAAGCCTACAGGACTCCTAAATTTCACTTCGGCCTCTAGAGGCACTAACGTTTTGTCTTCTTCTGCCTACCTACCCGCTACCTGAGTGTTTTCCAACCTACGCGGGCCTAGCCTAATAAATCCCATTGCGCCCTCACAAAAGCACGACCATAGCCTCCCATACAGGTAAGTACAAGGCCAGGGGGCTTCTCAGCACACAAGTACCCTGGCGGGTCACACACACACGCACGAGTAATCATGCAGTCAGGCAAACACACAGAAACTCAGCAATCATGCGCACACATGTACTCAGAAATCTCAGCAGAGAACGGGAATCTCAGCAAGTCACTCAGTCCAGTGGCATAACTCAGAAAACAGCAGAATTGTATAGTCTGTACTACAATGATACAATCATACAATGTATTGTACACACTGTAACACACAATATCTCTCATGGTACTTATTATACCTCTCGAGACTCTCAACCATTATGAAGTTTTTTTTTTTAATTGTTACTATTTGTTAGTATAAATAAATGTGCTAGCAAACGAGCCTAGCTCAGTTGGTACACCCAATGAACTGTTGCAGTACAGACCCAAGCTCAAGTCCAGCGGCGATCAGATGAACGATATAAATAAAAACATTGCGTACCGTCTTCACCCGAATAGAACGCCTGGTAATTATCGCCGTATCTGGGATGAAAGTTGTGCCAAATACAGATATAAATCTTTTTGGGTGAAGACGATAGGGCTGGTCACCTCAATGACGATATCTCAAGGCCGTCGCCCTTTTTGTTAAAAAAAGTGTTAGAAAAAAATGGAAACATACCTCTCTGCCATCAAGCTAGAGTCCTCCACAATGGCGCACGTGCTGTATTGCTCATCTAGGTCGTCTGCGAGAACCAAATAAAAGATAGAAAATATCTGAAAGAATGAGTCAGTGTGCAAAGTCGCAAACAAAAAAACAAAACAAAAAAAACGTTTGATTTCTCTTTTTTTTTTTTTTTTTTTTTTTTTTGCGACCATTTCTCAATTTATGTGTGTCATCCTTGCGCAGGCAGGGGCCACGCTAATCTTCCTTCTCGGTATCGTTCCAATTTTAACGGATGTCCCAAAGGGGACCTACCCGTTCGATTTCTGAAGTTAGCCAAGAAGAAATCCCTCATCGAGTTTATCATTGGCCGCACTTCCCTCCCTCCCTCCACCCACCACAGTGTACCCCCCACCCCCTCCTCCCTCTGCCTCCCCCCCAGCCTTCGCATCAACTCCCACCCTATCCCTTCCCTCTCCCCACTCCCCCAACGCCCCCGATCCTCTCTGTTCCCTCCCCCCCCCCCCCCCATTATTTTCCCCCCCCCCCCCCTACCCCCCCCCCCCCCCCCCCCCCCCCCCCCCCCCCCCCTCTTCCCCCCCCTCCCCCTCTTCCACCCCCCCGCCCCCCCCTCCTTTCTTTTCTTTGTTTTCTTTCTAACCTCCATGCCTGGCGGACATGCAATCCGTTGATGGGAACACTGCAGACCCGACATGTCTACATCCTCTGAATTAGAAAGTTGCAGAAAGATATAGGACGCATGTTGTCCGGCTATGGAGGTAAAAACAAAAGTTTCATGGAGGCACTAAGTTATGGTCGAGTCGAGTCTGGGTACACCAGGTTATGGTTGATCCATGCTGGGGTGGGTTGAAATGTCCCTCACAGGCCTTCACTTCCATCCCAGCTCACTTTACCTATTGGTTAAGCGATCCACCTCTTTGGTGGTAGGTCATAGGTTCAATTCCTAGTGAGTTGATCTTGGACTTCTTGCGTATAAAAGCAAGCACATATGGGCCAAAAAAAAAAAAAAAAGTTATGGGTCACCACGACTCACCAGTCATTGACATAAGAGGTAATTGGCAAATTGCAGAAATAGCACGTTTTCGGAGTTTCCCAGCGGAAATGTTGTCGGGGTCCGAAAGAAAGATGTATTTTTTGTAAAGAAACTGGGACCCCGCCCGCACATATTTTTGCTGTGAAACTGCGGGGACCTGTAAAGCTGCAACGAAAGATGTATTTTGTACCGAGACTTAGACCCCGCCACTATTTTTGCGGTGAAACTTCCGCGAACATGCTATTTTTGAACTTACCCTTGACATAATACCCAGTGATCAGAAAGAAAAGGGGAAAAAAACTTCAAAAAAGGGGAAAAAAAGGGGGAAAGAAAGGGAAAGAAAGGGAAAAAAAAATAAAAAAAAAAGAAAAAGGGGGAAAAAAGGGGGGAAAAAAGGAAAAAAAAGGGAAAAGTCATGATGAGGTTCTGAGCCGTTACCGGAAGGAAGGACTTCATAGAGCTCAGGCGGAACCTGTGGAAAGCACACACAATAGGTTTGAAGCTCGAGGAGGAGCTGAAATTAGTCAACCCTCATCAATACAGAAAAATCACCCAATCCTTACTTGACACATGACGCCATGGGAAAAGTGTAGGGGAAAAAAAAACAAAGGAGGAGGTATAAACAAAAAAAAACGGAAAAGCGTAGGTAAGCACACCGACATATGTCGTCGCAGAGGTCACAAAGAAATGAGTGAAAAGAGTAAGGGCAAGAATGGGCAAGAGGAGAAAAGGAAAGATGGAAGAAAGACAGGTGGAGAGACGGTGAAAGCGATAGAAAAGAGCGAGCACGAACAAAAGGATGGTGAAAACGATTAGAAAGAGCCGGCATGAACAGAGTCGAAATTGAAAAAAATTAAAAATATAAAAATCGGAACTCCCACACGCGAGTTAGCTGAGCACGAATTCACTATGGTGCTCTACAGCTTTTTTTTTTTTTTTTTTTTTTTGGATTTCTTAATGTCGGTTTGTCAATTTCGTCACTTTTTGTTCTTTGAGCTTCTTTCGTATTTAATTTCGTCACAAAGACTCACAATTCCTTTTTTTCTAATATTCTTCAGCGCTTGCCCACAGCTTAGTTGCACACCATAACTAATCTGTGTGAAGTTCTTGGTGGGCCATTTGGCACATGGACAATACATATTGCTGCCGAACGCAGCACCAGCATCATCATGGGTTCTAAGGTTGAAGAAAACAGGAGGAGAGGGGGGGGGGGGGTGAACAAGCAGATAAGGGTGGTCAAGTATCAAGATCAATACTTCCCGCGGCCTCAAGTCCATCCACGACTGTGTACAGAATCAAACTGGTACCCTTCGCCTCAACAGACGACCATCCTAACCACTGCAGCCATGACACAGCTTATGAAAGAGCAACCATACCTGTCATGATATCCGCCCAACCCCAGATGGCAGCAGTGTCCATACTCGTGGGAACACACACACACACACACACACACACACACACACACACACACACACACACACTGCCTCCTTTCATAATGTGCAAGTGGGCCGTTATGGCACACGAGGAAGTGGGCAGCTGGCGCTCAACCACTACCTACGTGGCGAGCCTGTACATGAGAGGCACAGCAAAAGGGGAGTTGCAAGGACAACTGAAATGCATGGACGGGTGCAGCGTTGACTGTTACCACCGCTTTGCGGACTATATAATTTAGTAATCATGCGAAGCGGGGCATGCAACCAACCCGCGCATTGGATTATCTGGGCCAGTGGAAGCATCCAGGAGGCACGCCGCGTCGTTGACCCATCTGGGAGTGAGTGTTATGCATTCAAGACAGAACGCTGATGGAGAGCTGTATGACACAATACTGTTGGTACCCAAATAGACTGCCCGACCATTATCACCGTACCTAGACTGAAATTTGCCCCAAATGCAGCTATAACGACAAGCCATTCTATTCGGGTGCAAGACGGTAGCTCCCAGTCCAGCACATGATCCTCGGCCACGACGAGGCATTACCCCCAACACCCACCACATTCCTGGTATGAATCCGTACGATTTCCTGGCTGGTTACCAGGCCGAGTACGGAAAAGGCTCGCGATGACACGAGCTACTATATCTACGGTGAAGTTTACGATGTGGGGACCACCACCTAAGGATCCCCCGGAAAAAAAACTAAGGGCAGGTGATAGCCAATCCACTTCTCTGAACGGTAACGAACTCCAAGATGTGGGGACCACCACCTAAGGACCCGACGTAGAGGATTCACACAGGAGAAAGCGTAAAGACTGTCTGCGGCAGGCAGAACTTCAAGTTTGAAGCCTCGGATCCGGTCGTGCCTGCACACGGGGTCGAACCGGCACCCTTGGCCAAAACAAAAGGTCTCCGACGAACCAGGGCTTAAACCGGCAGTGCGTATTAAAGAAGATGGGCCCGTAAATGTGCTGGGATGTACAGGCCTGCTGCACGCGGACAAATTCATTCATCATGACCCTAACTAATTCCAGAAGTCGGCATCGCTGGGAAAAGTACCGGTGCTTTAACAGACTCACAACCACTGATTACAAGCCTCGTCCCTGGCCGAGAGGCCAGAGAATCCCTCCCACCCTCTTTCCCCTTTTCTCCTCTTACCCCTTCTCTTCCCCTCACCCCTTTCCCCTTTTCTCCTCTTCTTGTGGGATGGGCATTTCAAACTTTGGGGTTCTTCAAGGATAGAGAGGCCCGGTACGTACCGCATAAAAAACTTCTTTTTTGGTCACTTCATCTTTGAAATACATCTGCACAAACAGTTAAGATGCAGATCGATGTCATCCTTTCCTTCTTTAATAATTGCAAGTCACTTTTCCAGAAATAATAAAATAATTGTGACCCCAAATCATATGTCTCAGCTGATAATTTCATTATTCCAGTGAAAGTGACCACCAATTTACTCTGGCTTTCATTCCTTCTCCTATACCCTCTCTATCTTCTTCCTCTTCTCTTTCAGCTTGGGATACCGGGGCCATTACCCGGCTTCCGCTAAGAAAGACAACTGTGTAATCTACACAAGAACACAAAAATTCTCTATCCCCCAAAGCTCGGATCAAATCTTCTTCGTCTTCGTCTTCGTCTTCTTCTTCTTCTTCTTCTTCTTCTTCTTCTTCTTCTTTCTGCTTTCGCTCTTTTCTTCTCTTTTTTTTCTGTCTACCCTCCTCGTATTGCAAGTTCTTCTTCCCATAAGAACAGTTTTTCCTTTTTTCCGTAAAATCCAAAAAGCCAAACTGCCACTTTTTTCTTCCTCTTCACTTTTTTCCTCGTTCTCTCCTCCTCCTCCTCCTCCTCCCATGCCCTCCTTCCTTCTCCCCCCCGTAAGAGTTGCTTTTTTCCCTCTTCTCATGTCTTCCATCTTTTTATTCCTCTTCAGTGCACCTTCTTTCTTCTCATTCTTCTTTTCTCCTCCTCCTCCTCCTCCCCCTCCTCCTCTCTTCTGCTTACTTTCCTCCAAGCTATGTCTGGCTTCAAACCACCATGCCTCTCCTTCCTCCTCTGCGAATCGGCGAGGACGGTGGATAACTCTGCAGTAGTGGCCAACTCTGTCGTGTTTCGTTTTTCTCTCTCTCTTTTTTTTTTATGGCCTTGAGATGTCATCATTGAACTGCCCTGACCCAGGTAAGAAAGAGCGTAATACACACACTTTTTTTTTTCTCTTTTTTTAATGGCCTTGGACAGTTGTGCAAAGATGGTAAAGGCAGGATGAAATGAGAAGCAAGTAAGATAACAGAAACGAAAAATGAGACAAAAGCATTTAGGGGGGGAG